ATGGAAAACTGCAACTTTGGCAACATCAGGAGGAGTTAAAATGTATACACAAATAGTAAATACATACAATATTCTAAACTGTCTGAACACCAAAACCTCCAAACACTAGAAATTTATACTTTGAGAGCTTTACTAACTGTGAAGTAAAATTCCCCAGTAAAGGGGCAGGCGCAATGGCTCAACTGGCTAACTCAGCTGCAAGCACCTGTACCACAAGCGAGCATTGGTTTGTATGCTGGATGCTACCTACTCCCTGTCCCAGTTCCCTACTATAGTCTGCAAAAGCAGCAGAAGGATGCTGAGACCCAGTACCTGGGCGGGAGACCTGTAAGAAGCTCCTGGCTTCAGATCGGTTTAGCACCAGCCGTTGCAACATTTTGGGGAGTGAACCAGCAGGTCAAAGATCTTTCTGTCCCTCCTTTCAGTAAATCCACCTTTCAGTAAAAGTAAATGAATCTTAAAAAAAAAAAATCCCCAGCTGAAGTACAGAAAAGTCATTGCAATCAAGATTGTACAGAGGGCCTGACACTGTTGCTTAGTGGCTAAAGTCCTTGCCTTGCAAGTGCCGAGATCTCATATGGGCACTTCTAATCCCGGCAGCCCTGATTCCCACAGCTCCCTGCTGTGGCCTGGGAAAGTAGACAGGACAGCCAAAGCCTTGGGACCATGCACCGGCACAGGAGACCCAGAAGAGCCTCAGGGCTCCTGGCTTCGGATTGGCTCAGCTCTGGTCGTTGCAGCAGCTTGGGGAGTGAATCTTCAGGCGGAAGATCTTCCTTCCTCTCGTTTATCTGACTTTCTAGTAAAAAAAAAAAAAAGTCCAAAATTTAAGTGCTCAGTCTCTAAATGGAGCATCTAGCTTATTTTTACTCAACTCTGATCTGGAATAGATCTTTCAGGAGGCCATTAGGCAAATAAAACACAAGTTAAGATCCAACAGAAGAAGACATTTGGTACAGCTGAGTAGACGTTCCTTGGAACACCTGCATCCCAAGTGCAGGTCTGAGGACCAGCTCATCTGCTTCCAATTTTGCTATCATTAATGTACTTCCCGGGATAGAGAAGTTGGGCCCCATCACCCATATGGGTGATGCACAAACACCCCCAGGTTTCTGGCTTCAGGATGACCCAGTCCTGACTGTTACTAGCATTTGGAGTGACCAGCAGATGGTACGTCTCTGTCTTTACACTTTTCAAATAAAATGAAGATAAATATAAATTAAAAAGAAAATAATGCCCAACAGGAAGACCTATAAGCTTGACAGTAAACTTCTAAAAACCAACAAGAAAACAAAAACCTCCAGGATGGCGCTGTCAGGTACACTGCTGCTACAACACTGGCATCTCATAAGAGCATCAAGTCTCAGCTGCTTCACTTCCCATACAGCCCTCTGGGAAAATGATGAAAGACAGCCAAAGTTCTCAAGTCCTTTTTCCCACCTGAGAGACACCAAGATTCCTAGAGTCCCAGGCTCCTGGCTCTTGTCTTCCACGGCCCAGCCTCAGTCACTAAGCCACTAATGGAGTGGAGCAGTAAACCCCTCTATGTCACCATCATTCAAACGGACATAAATTTTAAACAGAAGCAGAAACCTAGTGAACACAGATTATAGTATCCAGGTAAAAAGACTAAATTAGGAAAAAATACAAGTACTCTTGATAGCACATTTGTTTCCCTGAGGTTCTTACAAAGATACTTAGGGAAGAAAAGTCTACATATGTGGTTCAGGTACCTTACTGATCTAACAGCACACTCGAGACACTATTCGGAAAAATTATTTCAACAGCAAGCACTTACTACAGCACAGGCCCAGAAAAAACCAAACTGAAGCAAAATGAAAAACAGATCCCAAAATTCATAACAAAATAGCAGAAGACAGCCCGGTACTTTAGATCAGTGGCTAATGTCCTCGCTTCACACACGCTGGGATGCCATACAGGCACCGGTTCTAATCCTGGCAGCCCCACTTCCCATCCAGCTTCCCGATTAGAAAGCAGTCAAGGACGGCCCAAAGATGCACCCACATGAGACCTGGAAGAGGCTCCAGGCTGCTGGCTTAGGATTGGCTGGGGAGTGAATCAGCAGACGGAAGCTCTTTCTCTCTGTATCTGACTGTCTAATAAAAACAAATCTTTAAAAACAAAAAATAGCAGGAAGAAAAAGAAACCCAAAACTCACAGAGAGGAAAGTAGAGCAATATAAAAACCCTAAACGAAAGAAAGCAAACACATGAGCATATACTAAACAACAAGCTCACATATGTAATACCTCTACAACTAAAACCAAGCATTGAAATGTTTATTAAAACACACAAGTTTAAAACAAACACCACACACACACAGGTTCCTTAATTTCAACCAAGGAGATGATCTCTAAATCCTCATGCCTCCCAAGGTGACATTAGTAAACAATGACATAACTGGTCACAACAAATCTGAGATAACGCAGGATTTTCAAAAAAAGTTATATGTCCACTGTACCAAGACAGAAAGCTATATGGAACACCTTAGGCAGAGTCAAATTTAAATTCTTTTAAGCAAACATGAAATCAGTCAACTGAAAATAATTAGATAAATAAGGTGGGGAATTTTTTTCAAACTGGTTTCTTTTAGCAATACACAAATATATAATATTTGCCAAAATTTCAACTATAAGAAACAATTCTTACAACTGCTAGAAGAGTCAAGGACTTACAAAGTTTCACTGTTTTCCCTCTTGGAGGTAGGAAAAAAAAAAGCCACAATTCTATGAGAAGAGCTTGTAATTTTCGGAGAAATGATCCATTTGTAATTTTAAAACATCATTTAAAAACAACTATTCAAGAGTCTCCTGCTCAACGTAATTTCCTAATTACCCAGCGAAAATTTAGCCCAATGTGTCCCTTGCAAATGAATGGATTAAGGGCACCAGGGAAGCAGAAACCGATCAGTTAGGATCCCAAAAGGTTAACCAACTTCTCATTCTAGCATTCAACTGTTATCAGTGTAAGCAGATTTGGAAGGTCCTATTATAATACAAAAGGAAAACTTCTCAACATCCAAAGAACAACCTCCCTTTTTCTCTTTTTTTGTTTTAATGAAAGCAATGCTTCTAGGTATACTGCCTGGACAACTGTGAGTGCAGAAATCTGTACTCTCAGATTAAGCACCTGCTCAATGAGAAGTTTAAGGTTGCAAATATTTTCTGATGGCTTTAAGCACATTATAATGTGCAAAAAAGTACATTTACTTGATAGTAATTTTAGTGCTCAAATGTCTTAAGCACATCTGAAACATGAAAATTCACTTTTTAAAAACACTACTTCACTGACTTAAAAAGAGTCCGAAAATTTTTCAAAGTGACACCTTCATCTTGACTGTCCCTATACTTCACTCTTCCAAGCACCACACACTTCTGTGAAAAGACAGCTCAAAACGAAGTGATGGATAAATGGACTAGTTCTAGAAAATCAAATCATTATCCTATTTTTTTACAGTAAGAAAAGCTCTCTGAGTTATTTTCACTTTATCAGATTGGAACACTCACCCAATAACACTACCAAAACTCAGAAATGTTTTCAATATAATGTATCTTTTGACAACAGTTAACTTTGCAGTTCTAAATATACAAAATAAGAACATAACAATTTAAAATGCTTCAACCATAATGTCTGTTATAGATTAAAAGCAAAACAATATTCACCAAGGTATTTTTCAACTGGGCAGTACAGTCACCAAGTATGATGTCAGACCTAATGGCAAGCTAACTTAAGCTAATAAACCATTTAAAGGAAGACAGCAGCAAACCTCTGAAATGCAGCCGCTTTGAATGTGAAGATGGAAGTAGACATGAGTAAAATAAGCCAACAAATCATTATAGAACTGGAGTTACAAGAAATTCAGCAAAAATGATCCAGACTTCTCTCAAAATAAAAATGACACACAATGTAATCCATGTGAGCAATATAAATAAAATTAAGAAACTAAGTATTCTGCTTAAAAACATAGCTGTTTAATCAAGCCCTCCAGAGAAAAGTTCAGTAACACTTTTCACAGTTACCTTATTACCAGATAAGGAAAACTTAATGTTTCTAACACGCTCGCACATTTCAACTTTCTCTCACAATCCAGAGAGCAGCATCTCTACCCAAACTATCCTGCTCCTGTTCTCTAACTTCTCGTGTCCCTTCTCATAACACCTGTCAGTACAGATCCACTGACCCCTGAGTGTGTTTTACGTACATAAAGGTGGGACTGGTAGGCAAGAATAAGAATGAGGCTCTTTGGGCTCCATCATGCTAATCTGGAGTGCCACTCATGAAGAGCTGCTTCCAAGTTCCCCAAGTTCCCCCAACAAATGCAGAAAAACCAGGAACGATTTATCCAAGCTGTGCCAATACACTTAGCCAAGAGAAAATAAAAACATGAATCTGATAAAGCAGGCTCTTTTAAGAAAACCAACAAGCTGTGAAAGTGGACTGCAAGGCAACCAAGAAAATATTCTCAAGCATCTTTTGAATGTCCTTACAACATAACAAAAATCCAAGTGCTATAAAAAGCTAAAAACCAGTTTTGCACTCTGATGAAAGTTCAATTTTAACCAACTACAAATTCTAGTATACTCAGGTCAACTAAACCTTTGTTCTCCACTTACTAGAAATAACAAAATCTGAATAGTCAAGCCACGAACACTTAACCAAGATGTCCTAAAGCTTCAAAAGAAAGCTAAATTGCTCACTGTGAAAGTACTGGTACAATTCTGCAACCCAGCTGTCTTGCTTTTTTCTTAATAAGTAAGATTTGAAAGGAAATCAAGGCCTTTTAGCCTACAATACACACACAATGGAAATACCTTCCATTTTTCACTAGAAACTAAACCAACAGCCTACCTAAGATCAGGAAACAGACAAATGGAACCTAGAACACCTATGCAGAATCTCTCTCTCCACCATGAGGGTTCCTTCAGTCTTTCCTCCTTTTCCCCACAATCCTCAAGGACAACAGGCACGGGTTCTACTCACAGGGGCACGTGACGCTGCTCAGGATCCGCTCTGGTCAGTTCTTCCTCTTCTATGTCAGACTCCCCTCCTGAACTACTGTCAGTGACATCAGAATCAAAGGCTTGTTCACTGCACCTCAAGTTGGATATGCCACTAGCTGTAAATCTTTCCAATTCTTCTGAAATTGAGTCACTTTTCAAGAAGTTGTTAAGTCCTTCTGAAGTGGTAGTCTCATTGGCAGCTTTTCTCAAGGCAGCTTCAGCCTTTCGAGTCAACATCAATTGGTTCCTGGGTCTCAAGGATTCCAAGTTTGGCAATTTGCTCAAAGTCTTCTCCAAAAATCCACCCAGCTGGTGCTGCAAATGCCTCTCCACCTGCTTGGCTTGTACAACCTGTAAGCGCTTTTGTAATCGGCGGGCACGGCTCTCAATATCAGCCTGCCGCCGCAATAAAGCTGTTATCCTCGTGTCAGAATCCAAAGCACTGAAAAGAATGGAAGACAAGGGAGAGTTTTTACCCTCTACTTTGACGCCCCCCGAGTTAGAGCTGGAGTTTGTACCCGGTGATAATCTACTGTTTCCTTGAAGTGCCGGCTGTTCTGTGGAATTGACAGAAGATTTGTTTGCAGTGCTATTATTGCTATGTGTAATTGTGTGTTCTACATCAAGGCTTCTGTGTGGAAGAGTGCAATCGGTCATACCCCCCTTCAAGTCCCCAGACTCAGATCCCTCCACTTCACCCCCATGAAGAACAGATGAAGCGAGAGCTTGTTTTCCCCCATTGAGGGAAGTGGAATTGTCATGATCAGAATGTGCTGAACTTTTAGTCAATTTCTTAGCCAACCCATTTACAGGAGCTTGTGGCAAAGCTGTCTGACCGCTAGCATTCATGGTTCTAAGATTTTCTAAGGAAAATTCCAAAACAGGCTGTCTCCCCAACAGCTCAGCTCGGAGTTCATACGATTGTGATAAGAGAGGATGAGATTTAAGGACTGTCTGCTTGCTGAAGACTCCTTGCAATTTCAAAGATTCCTTTGAGGAAACAGGTGTTACATCAGAGCAAAGATAAGATGCCACCAATGGCTGCAGCTTTCCCAAGTCTTCCTTGGTAGGATTATTCCGGAAATCTAGACTGGGATCCTCTGCAGCAATGGCTTTTCTTTTGGTTCCGTTGGCAGCAATAAGGATGTTGGCGTTGCCGTTATTTTCGGCACCGCCAGGGGACAAGGTGGAGGATGGGGGAGCCAGTTTGAACCGGATGTGGTGTGCTTCAGCTGCTGCGTCAGTGAGAGCGGGCGCCATCGCAGCCATTCAGCACACGGAGACAGGAAGTCCAGCCTCTCCCGGAGCCGAGGCCAGCTCCTCGGCCCCTTTCTGCCTCCCCTGAGAGCAAACTAGAAGAAAAAGAAAAGGAAGTTAGAAATACAAGCACATTCACAAACAATACACGTTTCTAATACAGGCTCTATTTGAGACTGTTCTGCAGCCACTCTGCAGATCAAACTCAGAGCAGGAGGACACAATCTCTGCACAAGAATACTGGATCTTTTCTTTTAGCATATGTGATCAAAAACTGAAAGCTGCCCAAACATTTCCATTCTTAGAGAATTACAGACTGCTTTGAGCTTCTTGACACTGATGAACTTAAAGCCCAACTACTGCATAAAATGTTAGCAAAAAATTTCTTAGGCTCACAAAAAAATGTTTATGTCAAATGCCTATGGCTGCATTTTTCTGGCTAGAAAACCCAACTTCCACCAACTGCTCACAGAGCAACTGTGAGACAATACTTGCAATACCACTTTGCTCCATCAATTTTATTTTTATGAACACTCACCTAATACTAAAAAGCAAGTTAGTTTTGTAAAGATTTTTTTCCCAAAGATACACAGAGACAGAGAGACAAAGTACAAACGCTCTTCCACCCACTGGTTCACTCCCCAAATGGCTGCAACAGCCAGAGCTAAGCCAACCCAAAATCAGGAGCCAGGGACTTTTTCAAGGTCTCCAACATGTATGCAGAGGCCCAAGGAACTAAGCCATTGAATACTGCTTTTCATAAAGGCTGGCATTATGGCATGGTGTAAAACCACCAGGGACACTGCCATGTGCCAGTTTGAGTCCTCGTTGCTCTACCTCCCATCCAGCTCCCTGCTTGTGCCCCGAAGAAGCAGTAGAGGACAGCCCAAAGCCTTGGGACCCTGCACCTGCATGGGAGACTCGGAAGAGCTTCTTTTTCTTAGCTTTAGATCTGCTCCACTCTGGCCATTATGGCCATTTGGGGAGTGAACCAGTGCATGAAGACCTTTTTATCTTTCTCTCTGTAAATCTTTCTAATACAAATAAATAAATCTTTGAAAAAATTAAATGACTTAATCCTTAAAAAAAAATTCCTGGACACCATCAAGTGCACGACCCTAATCATTTCAATGTAACAAGAGAATAAAAAATTTACTGATGCAGTTTTAGATTCTACATTACAACTAACCCTCATTTGTTGAATTTCGGTATGTATCAAAAGATATACACCCTTCTCTGAAAACACGATCAATATTATTTGTGAGGCTGGATTGTCTTTATATACTTGAATTAAAACAACATGTCATAATATCATAACAGAATAAAATGTGGTAGATATGAAACATAACTTTTCTATTAAACAATAAACATGCCAATGCCATTTATTAAATTATTGTTACTTTTTACAATGTTATGGGTTTACTTCAGGAAAATTTTTAAATTTCTGTTTATAAAATAGCACTACTGATAGATTAATAACCCAGAAGCATTTTTTTTGCTCCAACAATTTCTAAGAGTGAAAAGGGGACATGCATCCCGAAGTCTGGGACTGTCTTTCCCCCAAAGATAGCACTGTCAACTTGTCAAACATTTCTACAAGCTCTTTACATCAAGATTCCTTATGACCATTCAAATCATTAATGTAAAAATACTCAAATGACCAATTTCATAAAATATTTACATACAGATACCATCTGCGAACATTCTATAAAAGAGCTAGATCTTGAAGGCTTACATTTACTCTTATGGACTTTTATTATATGTTATTCTCTGTGACCTAAATCATAATATTAGCTTTACCCATCTTTAACTTTGAATTTAATGCTAACTGCTAATACAGTTAATTGTAGACCAAGTGATAGGGATTCAATGCAAGGTAATTGGTCATGAAACATTGAGTCCATTTCATTTTGCCCATCAACAAAAATCTCCCATTAATTCAATCTCCTCATCTCTGAATTAACATCAATACACAGTTGATATTAGTAACCCAAGGAAGCACATTATCTGTTCCAGATGACGAATTAATTCAACACATGAAAAGAGTAGCTGTACCCTACTGCCTCAGCAACGGCAGGATATAGCCTAGCTCTGAGAACTCAGGCAAGGACAAAGATGTTACACAACTTACACTACCCTTAGAAAAACCCAGAGGCAGCTCAGCATACATAAAAAGATGGTCAAACTAACAACACAAAATGGACAAGGAGTAAATTTTCCAAGGTTATACTAGAAGTATTCAATTCTTTTTAAAGTTCACAACTTAAAAAACATGAAGAGGACTGGCACAGTAATCTAGTGGCTAGAGTCCTCACCTTGCATGTGCCGGGATCCCATATGGGCAGTTCCTTCTGTCCTGGCTGCTCTACTTCCCATCCAGCTCCCTGCTTATGGCCTGGGAAAGCAGCAGAGGATGGCCCAAAGCCCTGAAACTGCACCTCTGTGGGAGACCAGGAAGCAGCATCTGACTCCTGGCTTTGGACCTTGCAGCACTTGGGGAGTGAACTGGCAGACAGAAGATTTTTCTCCCTGTCCCTCCTTTACTCTGTAAATCTGTCCAATACAATTTTAAAAAAATTCTGACTATTAACTCTTTGAAACTCTACAAATATTATTCATATACATCTCATTTTCTCCCTGTTTGGTCTCAATAGCCCAGAGAATGCACAGCCAAGGATGGTTACTACTTATTGACAGGGACCCCCAAAAACTTAGTGAAAATTAAAAATTTGGGTTTATTTGGGTGCAAAGAGAACACTAAAATCATTCCATGGTTTGTGTATAAGGCACATTTTCCATGAACGTTCAAAAGTATCACTGTAAACGTAAGGGGTAGAGGGGAAAAGAGAAGGGAAAAAAAGTGTCTATTGAAGAAACTCCTATTTCTAATGATTAAATCTTTATGTATCTATATCCCCTAAATCAATACTACTATCAAAAACAAACATACAAAACCAAAAATTATACACTGGGGCAAGTGCCACAATGTAGTAGACTAAGCCTATGCCTGCAGCAGCACCAACATCCCACATGGCCAATGAAAAATAAGACCTATCTATTTTTAGGATTTATTCTTATTGAAAAGGCAGATTTACAGGGAGACAGAAACAGGAAGCTCTTCCATCTGCTGTCCCCAAGTGGCTACAAGGGCCAGAGCTGAGCCAATCCAAAGACAGGAGCCAGGAGTTTCTTCCTAGTCTCCCATGTGAGTACTGGGTCCCAAGGCTCAGGGCCATCCTTGACTGCTTTCCCAGGCTACAAGGAGGAAGCTGAATGGGAAATGGAGCTGCTGGGACATGAAGTGGCCAACATAAGGGATTCCAGCACATGCAAGTGGAGGATTTTTCCACTAGGCCCTAAGGAATCATGTTAGGGAGATAATGTCAACTCACTAAATATCTTAAAAAAAAAAATCTTGACAGTCACGATTTCTCTCTCCATGCTGAATACTCAGAACAAGACTCTGGAAGATAAATGGGGTAAAGATGGCATGCCTCCACAGTTGCTTGTCATACTGTTTCATCTAATCCAAGTAGAACTCCAGGACAGAGTTCCTGGAGTATCTCTAGGATAGAGCTTCTCAGGTTCAGCAGTTCACATCCTAGGTCCAACAGCTTTCTGACAGACAGAACTATTGTGTCCATTTCAGGCTGCTCAACAGCACCCCTGGACTCAGCTCATTAGATGCCAATAGTATCCATCTTCACAATGCCAACAAAAATGCCTCCTGACAAGTCAAAAGGGTGAGCAGGAAGTGCTCCAATCAGACCTGCCGAGTGAGAACGGGAAGAGTTCACACACAGCTTTCCAAATATTGGTGAAAAGGTGTATTATGAAATCAGGCAGAGGTCTAACTTTTTTTGCACTCAAATCATCTTTTAATTCCATTTTCCCATGAACTCTTGATGTACCCCTTTGCGTGCTTTCCAAAAAAACATATTCAGCTGTTTCAAACACTCCACATCAGGATTAACTCCACACATACAAATGAAAAAAGATGTTTCTTATGAAGTCCAAAGATAGAACTCCAGGTATACAAAATAACATAGAAGCAGTGACCTTGCAAAATGTTTCACTCCAACCATGCAAAATGAGGGTTTAGGCCGTCTGGTTGGCCAAGAAGCCAAAAGTCACTCCTGCACTGAGGACTGAGGCAAAAATTCTAGAAGAGTCCAGCGAAGGTGC